TGATCCTGTGCACTTACTGTACTTTTGAGTCATATGATCAAAGCCTTCTAAACTTAAACTTAATGTGTACAGGAGCATTATAGGCAGAGGTGGCAATCTGCATTTAGGGTTATAATTCCAGGTCAAGTTAAAAGAAGGAGCTACTTTAAACTTGTCACTTTTCTGTGGTTTTAGGTTGCGTGATCATTGTCTTTGTATTTTTCATTGATTATATGAATGATTATGAGTCAGTTACTGTCAGTTCATTTTTAATTTGGGACTGTGAAACAAGCAATACCAGTTTATTGTGCCAAATCCTGTTCTGACAGCAAAACACCTGTGAGCAGCTAGTACAGATTATAAAAGAATATACATTTTAAAACACTCACAACTGAATCCCTCCCACTGCACTGGCACAGCCCAAAGAACAATATTAATTTCATAACGAAACAATGACGTTTTTTCCCCCCATATGATTACTATTAAAGAAACTGATTTAAAGTAAGCTTGCCCTTGACAGAAACTCCTCAACTGTCAGAATCTGAATAAACTCTATTTTATCGTTAGATAGGGGGTTAAATTGTAGGGAAAAAACAATCATAAAAGACTAAATGTGTCATTGTGGGTGTCCACAGATGAGATACTGGGTGTTAGGGGTTGTTATTTTTGGTAAGCTGTCACTGTGGATTCAGAATAATGGAGACAGCAGAGGACAGCACACACAACAAAACAAACACAAAAAATGTCACGACAGAAATTGCTTATTGTTGCAGATGAAAGTAAATGGCACTCAAATGGTGGCAAACGTGATCAGGTATCTCAGCCTCCCATAAGTTGAATTGATGGTTCTGCTGAATTTGATTTGCATGCAGCCACCTCAGGCGAGATGTAGTAGTTCCGCTTGCCATTTTTTATCCCCCTGCCCCCTCTGTCCCCTGGACCTCCCCCTGTGAATAATGACTGCAGCTGTGTCAATGTAGCAGCTAACTGAGTGTGCGCCTGTTTGTGTGTCTTATTTTGATGGCTTTTTACAGTCGGTGTGTCTGTGTGTGTCTGTCTGATTATGGTGTACAGATAGGCCATTACCCATGCGGTACGAGGAGAGGGGCTTAATGGACGACAGAGGATGCAAGAGCAGGGCGGCTCGTAAACACTGCCCTCTTCTCTCAGCCATATCGATACAGACATCTGGGAGTTTGGCCACTTCATTCACAAAGCCAATACCCCGGTGGGATGAGACAGGCCAATGTTAGCCCAGTTCCATCAGGAAAAAGACAAGAGCTATCACGAAATCCACTTTAAGGATGTCGATTCTTTTGCGGTATTGCTGTTTTTGCTCGCACGTTGTTGTGGAAGTTAAACAACGGAAACAAAATGAGAGTTGATGAGACTACCTTGGATAAACCTGGCCTTATGTGACAAGTAAACACAAAAAAGTGTTTACCTTTGTTGTCTTACAAAAATTAGGAGTTGTTTTTTTCTGTAACAAATCGCTCCGCTGATCGGTTTAAAATTAAGCCTATCAGTGCTGAAGATTTAAATATTCAAGATTTAATACACGTTACAGTCCAGTTACATTTAAATAGGAAAAAATCATTTACAAATTTACAGTATTGAGGGCTTAAAATAATATACTGTAAAGAATATACTATAAAGTACATTTCTTTGGCTATTTCATATCCATTATTGTTTCATGAGATTCATCTACTATAACTGAAATCCACCTGCATGTGATTTAATGTTGTATAAATGAAGACTTGTGTGAATCCGAAGTGCTGCAGATGTTTTTGTGTGTGTGCTATAATGAACTAGTTCTGAATATATATTAAAAAAATTACAAATTTAAAGAGTCCCAAGGTTTAGTGGACCCTTTGATTATATGAGGAAAGTCAGTCATCATCCTATTAAAAACAACTTACAGTCAAACACTGAAATCATTCTGTGGATATGCTGTGGTTCTACTGAGACTCTTTGGCAGAGATTTTTGCAGCAGCCAGAGTCTACATCTGAGAATAGCACACTACCTCTGGAAAACGATGTGGGAAGAAAGTTTCCCTCTGGTTGAGCTTAAGCGATTCAGTCAAGAAGAAGTAGGATAAGTGTTCGATTGAATGGTAATAAGTTCTGGACAGGTTGCCAGTCCATCATAAGGGCCACACGCGGAGGAACAACCACACACACTCACTCCTAAAATCTATTTAGAATAAACAATTAACCCTACGTGAACACTTTTGGATGGAGTTAGCCAGAGTACCCAGAGCAAAAAAAACGGGAAGCCTCTTTCTGTGAGGTTACGGTGCTAACCACCACACCACGGTGCACCGATCCCAGAGTTATTTATGACATATGTTTCTCATCCACCCATTGGCACATATTCACATTTTACTTCCTATTACAGACAGAAAGCATTTTTCTCAGTCAAACACACAATAAAGAGCCACTGTTTCTTGCAGCCTTCAACAATCTGTTTATCAAAATATAGTTCAATGAGGAGAGCGGGGAATTTTGCATTGTCAAAACTATTTTGCAACGTTTCTGAAGTATTTCCTGTTGCTTCAGTGCTTTAAATTTTGCAGCCAAAAGCGGTTTCAACTTCCGCCTTCAACATGTGTCAAGCAACCATTCACTCAATCAGGCATTTGTTATTAAGATTCACACCCACAAATGCACAAACACATTTGATACCTGAACAACCAGGTGTTAGCCTCTGCCCACTCAAAGGGAGGACAGGACAGAAAGACTGGAGGTGGTGGCAAATGGGAGTTATGGACATACAGAAGGACTGAGTGCGCTCAGCTTTGTTCAAGTGCTGCAGGTGCGACTATTGTCTTTAAAATTTAGCCGTGAAAGACTCCCACAGAGGAGTGCAAAACGATATAAAGTGTTGTCATTACTGAATGAAGTCTTTTTTCACTTTGATTAATTCAATTAACTCAAAAGTCTTCATAAGCTTGAGTGTGCAATAATGTCCTTTGCACTTTGATATTGTGAATAAACACATATTGTACAGTTGTTTCTAGAATCTGCTCCCATCCAAATGCTACGCAATCACATTTGATTTCTTCGGTGGAACAGACCCTTCTGGTAAATGTCACTCTGTGGCAGGAACAGAGCCTGGTTACAGCAATCCTACCCTGAGGGGGCCGCAGAGCTGTCACTTCCTCTAAAGTGCGTAGACTACACAGTGGCTGACAGTAAACAGAGAAAAGACCGGATTTTGTTTGAGCTTTTTCCGCAAAAAAAAAAAAGAAGTAATTTCCACATAAAAAAAGAAAAGGAAAAATTATGAAATGATGGTGGAACGCTGTTACAGTGAAATAGTCCACCAAATGTTTACTGATTTTTCCCCCAACATTTTCTACTCATGAATTCATAAGGGTTTTCAACATTTTTCCCAAATGTTCAAAAAGTTGTGGATATCTGATGTACGGTGCAGAGAAATAAACAGGTGTTTTGATTTGGTTATGATGACGGGAGGAGCTCTTCACATTTCCCATTACTGTTGTAATAAACTTTCATTTGTGTTGGTTAATGTACTGTCTAAAACATCATTTTTACAAGACTCAATATGTGACTTCATCATACGGAAGAGATTTTTAGTTGTATTTTTGGGGGTTTAAACAAATGACTTCAATGATAGTTCACACATCAGCGTACCTATCTTCTCATTTTAACTGGTCACACTTACATACTTTAAGTATTTAACTTTGAGCTTGTCGCCTCAGCACCTCAGTGTGGATAACAAAGTAGGTTTTTACAACGGACGCCTTTCCTGACACGACCCTCTCCTCTATCCAGGACTGAAACAAACAGGAACACCATGCCCCTTAAGCAGCTGCATTGCTGGGAACTGGGGGTTCAATGTCTTGTCCAAAGACACCGTGACATTTAGCCTAGGAGCAAACCAACAAACCTGCCCCTTGGCAGGCAACTGCTCCTACCCCTGAGACACAGCTGCTTTTATTGTTGCATGGATACATTTTACTGATATGAAAGCCCCCTCTGGTCTATCCTTGCCTGTTATGAAGCATGGGTGGATGAAGCCCTCTTGTGGTCTGGGAATGATGTAGAGAAGCTCAATCAATAGCATGAAAAATGAATTCATTTTTTTTTCTTTGTAGTAGACATTATTTCTATTTTTTTTCTTCTGATTTTAAGTGTCCTAAGCCATGAATCAATGTGCTGCAAGTTAAAAATACCCTTATGAGAGAAGGATTATAAGATAGACTATTACTTTTTTCTTTCATCTTCAAAAGCTTCTTCAAAATGGAAAATAAATTGAGGCCAGCAAAAAAAAAAAAAAAAACTTGCAGTTAAGAATTATTTTGGCATTAAGAAATTAAAGGGGGTAGCCTTGTTAAATGTATCTTAGAGTATCTTCTATCAAGAGAGTAACATAATTCAGCTCCATGTTTAGAGAGTTCAATTGTTTGGTGAGAAGGAATATGACAACTCAAGTAAGACCCTATTTTCGAGTCTGTTCTGGCTGAGTGAGATCTTTTAATCTCCAGCTTCTTTCCACAGTCCATGGCCATCTACAAGGTTCCACTAAGAAAAAAGTCATTTGAAAAATGTTTTGAAAATGACAATTTTATCATTTTAAAAGAGTCTGCGGAAATTTCATTGAGGACATTATTTCACCTCTTGCTTTATCAGGTCACTAGACAAACCAGCCCATGCACAAAAACAAAAGAGCAAAAGAAAAAGGTTTCCACCGAACCGCACAAGCAATTAGTTAGAGTGCAACATTTGTCTATATGCAAGGTAGACTTTCTTTAAAAAAGAAAAACAAACAAACAAACAAGTTTTTAATCTCTGATGTTTGGTCTGAGTTGTTTTCACAACTAAAACAGCATCTTCTCATGCTGACAAGTTGAAGGGGTTGTTCTATACTTCCTGGTAACTATTGTAACAGTACAACGAATCAATTTTAATAGTTTTTATAATGTTACTCTCTCATTTTGCAGCTTTTTGACCACCTTTTTTAATTGCTTGGGCTATTCTTTTCCACAGGGTGCCTGAATGAAGATATGTGGACAGACGCAGCTCAGACGTATTGAATGCCATGTTTGAGAAGTCCTCTATTGACACGATCCATAAACTTGACACTTTCTTAAGGTGGTTCTTGAACGCAGCACCGTGCAGTCCAATCAGAATTCTGGGTTCCCGTGTCCCTTGCGCGTGAGGGTTGGAGCAAAGACGCGTGAACGAAGCGACTAGCGAAAATTCCGCTCGTCTAGAGGTAAGACTGTAGAAACATCAAACTCAATCAGAAATGTAATCAGTGTGACCATTTACTGTAAAACGAACGATCAATCATTGCGTCTATGAGCTTTTTAACTACCCACTGGTTAATCGTTCTCATTACAGTTGTATTTATCTCTAGGGCTTTTTATTAACCCGCGAGCTAACGGTAGCTACATTGTATTAGCTTTTAACGGCGGCCGGCTAGTAATTAATGTATCGTTAACGGCAGTTCTACCAAACTGAAGTTGAGCTGTTGTACTGTCTCTCTAAAGTATGAATCGTTTATTAATGAGAATACAAAGCGTTACCGCGCTAACCAGCACATTCTTATTGTTTGTTAAAGCATTGCCCATAGCACGCTGCCTCGTAGTTTCTTGCTAACAAGCTAGCTAGTCAGGTCAACTGTTGTCAGATCTCTGGCACCGCCCATAACAGTGAAGCGATTATCAGCAAGTGTTTGCCGGTCAGTCGTTGTAGCGTCTGGGTTTATTTGATATTGCCCAGAGGTCCGGGGTAACTGTCACAGCCTAAGCTATGCGTTTTACAATTTTCACAGGAGTGATGCTAGCTGTAGTTGTCATAGCTTAGCCCAGCTGCCATTACCATGTCAATGCGTCATCGGCCTGCGCTCGCTCGGCGTTAGTGTAGCTTGGAATTGGGAGAAGTTTGCTCAGCTCTTCAGCATGATACATTTTCTTAATAACGTATTTATTAAATCTTTTTTTCCCCACAGAATCACTTGGTCACCATCTAAATGCATCTAATTGGCACTTGTGTTCAGACACCCTTTTTCCAATGTTGTTTTGCTCATTACATCTAATAAGGGCTGTAGCTAATACAACCAATGTGCTTCTTTACAGAGGAAGGCGCTGACATTTGGTCATCATGGATCCCAATAAAGGTAAGGACAAATGTTATGCATCCCAACTTGCTTTAAAAAATCCTCAAGAACGTGAAGTCTTGTTTCTTTTGTATTAATGTGTAGCTTTTTAACAGGAGAGTGTTGAAATGTGTATGTTGGAAACAGAGGACTCTAGGATTTAGTTTAAGATATTACAATATAATCAGTCACAAATGGGTGCTTTGGATTTCATTAAATGTGTCCTTAAACCATACCTATTAGGATCCCCATTTGGTTGTTGTTTGTTTGGTTGAGGTCGATCTGAAGGAAGTTATGACCTATGAGTTTGAAAACCAAAGTTAGCTACCAGTGTTCACTGACTCAACTCGTGTTTTGATTAATATTAAAAATGACACCATCATTTAGATTCTGTCTTTGCTTGGCAGTTAAAGGTGATCAAATGATGCCAAACCCTGGCGGGCAGATGGACAAACCTGTCAGCTTCCAGATTTTGGAAAGGTCAGTGCTACATCACGCATGATAAATATTGTACTGTTGAAACTCTTTCTTCAGGAATATAGTTGTACCCTCTGAAGACATTTATCCAAACCTTTTGTCTTTTATTCACTAAAGTTGTTGTGTTTTTTCTCATTTCGTTTCTCACATAGCATGCTCCCTAAAGTGGTGAAGAGGCGAGTGCATGCCTTGAAAAGGCTACAGGTGCAATGTGCTAACATTGAAGCTAAATTCTATGAGGAGGTCCATGAACTCGAGAGAAAGTATGCTGCCCTATATCAGCCACTTTTTGACAAGGTAAAGTCAATGGTATTTTTATTAACCTTATGTCACAGGAACATTTTCCTGACATTTAATATAAAAGGCACAAACCCACCCCCCCATGAGAAAATGGATAAAAGTGTTGATGACATTTGTAAGACTCAGCATTGTTGCTCCTTGCACTCTGGGATTTTCAGGTTTCTCTGCTCTAACCTGCTGTGAGAGAGGCCGTATCCTAGATGCTAAATTGAAAACTGCCTCAGCGAGTAGTTGACTGTGCTTTTTGTCAGTTGAGCCTATTTCCAGAGAGAGTGACAAGAGCTGTTCCATTCTTAAACACAGTCAAGAGTGACAGCTGTAATCCTCCTGCAGCTGTCTGTACTGTGTTTATGTCCCGTTCAGTCTCTCCTAAATGACAAGTGTGCATGCTTACTTAAAATAATTCTTCCTGACTAAATAGTTTCTTGGCCACGTGGAGCTAATTTAACAGCAATGCCTCTAAGTCTCCTAAATCAATTAAGTGTTATCCTTTTATTAGTAATGAGTGGATGAGCTTTATTACTCTAGTGTAACATTTTTTGTTTGGTATCACAGAGACGAGAAATTGTCACAGGAGCAGTGGAACCCACAGATGAGGAGTGTGAATGGAACAGTGATCGAGACGAAGAGGAGGAGCTTGCTGTAAGTAAACCTTAAATCGGATTCTCTACAGCTCACCATTACATTAAAAACACTTTTGCTATAACTAAGTGTAATTAAGGAATTATTAAAACGTGTAGGGGCTTAACGTCTGTGGCCCCTCTGTACCGCTTATCGTTGCTCTAACACATTCATGAAATCGTGTCTTGGTAAGTTTGCACATGCTCGATGACTTTGCGCAAGCTCCAAAGAGTTTTGTAAATCTCATTCTAAAGGATTGTTGGTAATCCATTTTCAAGTGACAAACAAGCACTAACACGCTCTCTAACGGCTGTTTAGTATGGCAGTCTAGTCTTGTTGTGATGTTGTATTCGTCTTAAGCCTATTTTCAACACGTCTGTTAAACTGACAAGATGAATGTGTGGGTGTAACGTCGGAAGAATCAATAAGTCATACTGTCAGTCTGCGGATATTGCTTTCTTAGACTTCTGCATATTTTTATTACCTGTACTCGTCAGAGGCTTTTCAAAGTGACAATTATTCGAGTTAACAATTAAGCTGTTAACAGTTAAGCATTTTAACCCATTCAAGTAAGAAGCCATTCTGACTTCTTGGTGGCTTCAGTTACACTGCTGCTGTCGGCACCTAGAAAAGCAACGTTTCTGTCCACTTATGTCATTTATAAAAAGTGTGTTTCACATTCTGATTATTTTCACAGTATGTTTATGACACTATTGGAAATGCTTTGTTAGGAGTTGTTATTTATCACTTGATAAGATGTCAAATGCCAAAAGAATAAATGTGTGATTCCCATGGCAACCTCCCTCATTACCATGGATATTTGTTACGTCCCCACTGTGAAAATCCAGAGGAGAAAGGAGGAAACAGCAGGGTGGTCAAATGAATAAGCCTTGATTATGAGGGAGGTTACACAAAGAGGCAACAGCACTATGTCCACCAGAGCCTATGAGAAGGGTCACAGACCAGAACCAAATTGCATTAAGGGTAAAAGACATCATGAGGAAAAACCAGGGGAAGAATACCTTCTGTGGCCTACAGAACCACCCTACTCGCTGAGAACAGCATCCTCCTCACAAACACATGCCCCGACTTACCGGTGGTAGCCAACTCCACAAACCTCTTAAACTCACCAAACTGCTACATTAAATACACCACAAGACTTTCTCCATGCTTTAGACCAGGCCAATCTCGAACACCAAACTGTTGTCACCACTCTCTTATCTCCCCCCTCGAGAAATCCATCCTGCCCCGCCTCTATTATGTTGTGTACTGATCACTGAGAGAGCTTAGGTGCCGCCTGGAGAAAACCAGCGTCAACTGGGACCTGGAAAAGGAGAACAACACCCATCTCCACACACACACACAGACTGAAATCATGAAAAACATTAAAAGACAGAATGTATTGCCGATCAATCCTGTGAGTTTTAATGATTGTTCGGTCCTGCTGACAGGAGGAGGTCAAGGAAAAAGCTGCTATTGAAGATGCAAAAAAGGAGGAAGCTACACCAGAAGAAGACCCAAAGGGCATACCCGAGTTCTGGCTCACCATTTTCAAGAGCGTGGACATGCTCAGCGATATGTTACAGGTAGCCGTGACCAAGTCTCCCAGCCACCCGCCATATCTCACCACATTTCCTTTCACCGGTTTAGTCTCTGACTTGAATTTTTTGGTTTCTTTTTAGGAGCACGATGAGCCCATCTTAAAGCACCTGAAAGATATCCAAGTCAAGTTTTCTGAGCCCGGACAGCCAATGGTTAGTGTTTACCTGCACAAGTGTCACAGACCTGGTTCTGAACTAAATACTTTTTAAATGCTGAGTTATATTTTTGTTCTTTCTCCCAGAGTTTCACATTAGAGTTCCTCTTTGAGCCCAATGGCTACTTCAACAATGCAGTTCTCACTAAAGTCTACAAGATGAAATCAGAGCCTGACACCTCAGATCCTTTTTCATTTGAGGGTCCAGAGATCATCGACTGTGAAGGGTGAGAACCAAAGAAAACCAACATGCACATCAAGCTGTAGTTTTCATATGATGTAGTTTAATTCTCAGCCATTTTGGGCTATTTATGACCTTTTTTATGCTCTCTCTGCTGCATTCTGTAGTTGTCAGATAGATTGGCACAAGGGGAAAGATGTGACTGTGAAAACCATTAAGAAGAAGCAGAAGCATAAAGGCCGTGGCACTGTCCGTACTGTTACCAAACAGGTCCCCAACGACTCTTTCTTCAACTTCTTTAACCCTATCAAAGGTGAGAATGGACACTTTAAAAAGATCCACATGAATCACGACCGATTGCTTTGGAGTATTGTACGTTGCCTGTTTGGTGTTCACAGTTTTTGAGCATTTTTGCATCCCTTAATAGAATCTGCCTTTAGCTTGTCCAAAAAATGGTAAGTCCAAATTTCCTATGTTAATTAGCTAGTAGAAGAGAGCAGAAATGCCATATTTTTTTAATAGTTTGTCACAGGTTGCATGAAGCAACAGCAAACTAAAACCGGTTTAAATCCTCTCACATCCAACTTGAATTTTATTATGTACCGTTTTTTTAAGTGTTGATATACCACCCAGCCCTCATTTTTCCAACCAAGGAAATTCAAACCATAATTGTGTTCTTTTTATACAGCCAAACGCATTTCTGAAACTTTGAATGTGTCAAAGTTAAAGTAAGTTGACCCACATGCCTATTGTTTGGTTTTAAATCTCAACAGCAGATGGCACCAGACTCTTATGGTGTGTACTCCAAGCAGGGGAAGGAGAGGTTAGCATTTCTGCCGCCCACAGAAACTGGACTTTGTACACAAGTTCACCTTTGGAACATTTACCTCAGCTGCTTTTTCCACTGTGGAGACTTTTTCGGCAATAAATTGAGTAAATATTCTCCCCTAAATAATTGTTAGTTGCATAAATCAGCAATTCCATGAAGTCATACATCTAGAAATACTAAAGTATCATTAGTTGGGCAGAATACTCCATAATGGCTCTCCAAGACATAAATCATCTGTCTTGGACGCTTGCGCAGCCTGATAGACATGCCTGGACTTATTCTGCCTGTGAGAGGTCCACTTTGTCACTAACTGCTGGTCCTACTGGTTAAGTCATAGTGCTTCTGTGTGCCCGCTGAACAGAAACAAGTCATTGTTGGGTGTGCTCAGGTGTGCAGCTTTTGGGCTGGGATATCATTACTGAGCAAATCACTGTTCACCGATCACCTGATTAGACACAAAGACGGCGTGTGAGTCGCTGTTAAAGATGCATTTTGTATTGGATGAGTTAGGCCAGAGGGGAGCATTTGGCTCGCTTTGATGCCCGCAATTTGGAAAAAAATGTCTCTAGCTGAATTCTTCATGTGATGACGGGATTCTAGTGAAATGCATGGTGTTTATTTCTGACAAAGAACAGTTAGGAATGAGTTTTAGTGACTCTATCGGGTCTCCACTGTAACTGTTAATGTAGGATCATATTTGTAGTGGAAAAATCCTCAGCTCACAGTTTGCTTCAGAACCACCTTGAAATGTGCCGTGTGTAGCTTTGGCACACTGTTCTGTTGGCGTTAAGGCATCAGTAGCTCCTTTTAAAAATTGGAAGAGAAGCCTTTTAAGTTCATTGTTTGTATTTTGTGATGAAAGTGATTATTTTCTATCCTTTTTTTCAAATCATTTTCTGCTTTTAGGGTCTTAAGTAGATGCCATTTGCTTCTGAAAATCTGGATAATAGAGATTGCTGGCTCGCTAAGAATTCTTATAGCCTTGCACAGTGCAAGTTAATATTCACCCGTTGCCAACCGCATGAGATGTAATTGACTGTGGATGTTAGCATCCTGCTGAGCCGAAGAATTCCGAGAGCCAAGCAGACAATTGACCCTGTTGTAACCAGCCAGTGCCCTCTGCTGTGTCCTTAATCAGGAATTAATGGACTCTGCAGAGGCAGTCAAGCTCCTCGTCTTCTATTCATTTCTTCAAGGACACCTTCCTGGATATCGTTGCTTTCTTATGTTGAGGCTTATTGTTGGTGTCAGCGTTCAACTACAGCGACTCAGGTTGGGAAGCGCAATGCGCCTGGGATAGAATTGTCCCGTAAAATCCAGCAGCGGTGAACAAGCGGCCTCCGTACGCCGGACAAGTGAGCGCCGTCCAGCCAGGTCCTCAGATGTGTTTTTTATTTCTGGTATTCGAATGCAGACCAGTGTTTGGAAAACCGGATGGAGCGCAGCTGCCCAGACCGCAGTGCCTGTCCCCCACGTCAGCGTTGTTTAGAGAGGTGAGGTGAGATGACCTCACCTCCACACGGCCGTAGCTCAGCAGCGCAGCTGTTGGTTGATGGTCTGACGCTTTTAAGGATGACGACCTTGTGATTTCAGTATTTCAGACGGGAAGTCGCAGCCCGTCCTGATGTCCTAATCTAACAAAAAACACGTCTAGTATGTTTTAAATGGAGCTTTTCTCAAAGGCTCCTTTTCACTGTGTCTTTAAATGCTCTCTGATGGTCAAATTGTGTTTGTTTGTACCTTTACAGCTCCTCCAGATGGAGAAATGGTGAGTGCGTTTAATTTCTGTCCTGAAATGATTGCTGCATCTGTCATCATGTCCATGTGGTCATAGTCGTTTCCATGCTCACGCCGTCTCTTTGGGTTCATGCTTTATAGGACGAAGACTCGGAGTACACCCTAGCCACAGACTTTGAGATCGGTCATTTCTTCCGTGAGAGAATAGTTCCCAGAGCAGTGCTGTATTTCACCGGAGAGGCTCTGGAAGATGACGAGAGCGTAAGGGCTGCTCCCGAAACGCACACACACATGCACACACACACACACACACACACACAGTTAGGGACACGTTTGTGGAGAAGCTCCAACACACAAGTCACAACACGGGAGGTGTGCGGATTGGCAGGGCAGCTGAAGAAAAGCGTGTTTTGACTAATGGGTGTGTTTTCACTTTTTTTTTGTCTTGTTTTGCAGTTTGAAGAGGAAGAGCTGGAAGAGGGAGATGAAGAGGTTTGTGACTACAAACTTTTAAAGTCTGTGTTGGGTCTGAAAAGCAGCTGGCAGCCTTTCTCCCCACGTGGGAGTTGGGTGTGCAGCTGCACCGCCTCACGCCTCGCCGCCAGCACAACTCTTTCTGTAAATGAATGTTAATTATGTTCTTATGTCTCAGGAACAAGATGAAGAGGGTGATGAAGATGATGAGGAGGGAGATTTTGACCCCAAGGTCAGTTATCTTCAACTGCTTTTTCTTTCTGTCACAGACATTTTTTGGAAAAGTAAATATTTTTTTTTGTGTAGGGGAAAGCCCACTGAGAGGATAACCTGGCAAAATCCCACATGATTAAATTAAAGTAGGCTTTAAAAAAATATATAGATTACGTGTGTGCCAGCTATCTAAACAACTACAACAGAGATGTAGGAGATAGAGCAGGTCTTTGACTACAAATTCAGGAAGTGATCTGTGAACGAGGCCTGGTGACGGCAGAGGAGGTGGTCTGCTCGTTTCTGGGCAAAGAAAACAGCTTTCCAGTCTGATTACCTGTGTGTAAACCTAATTGTCATATTATTGTAACATATTTGATATGACAACACATTTGCTCGGTAAACGTAGACTTAAATGCCTGTGGGAACTTATGCAAGTTCCTACATTTTTATCTCAGATTTTCTTCAAAAACCCTGAAACAGAAAGGGAGTTCTGCTCCCACAGTGAGTTGTTCATGATAGATTGTTGTAGGTAGTTAATTCTGGAGTCTCCAACAATGCTGCTTTGTCTACTTGAGTTTTTTATTTTCATGGTAAACTGTGGTGTGCGCCTCCTCTGCTCGTCAGCTCATGGGGGAGTATGTTAGGGTTGTTTGCTCATTCACCATGTTCAGCAAAGTTTCACTTTGTGCTCCCTGTCATGTCTGAATGTGACGATTAAACCTGTCCATGCTGTTGTCTCCCCTTCATTACAGGCATAATCAAACATTCTCACCCCATGCATTTCTAGGTAAGGGAGACGTAAGGATAGCGTCCCACAATCATTACACTTTTTATCTTTCTCCTTCGTTACTTTTTTCCCCTCTCCCCCCCTTTAGTTTAGGTACACCCCCCCCAAAAAAAAAAAAAAAAAAAACTTGCATCCTGGCCCTCTGCTCTTTCCGTCCTGTTGTTTGCATCTGTACATTCTCCCTCTTTAGTCCCATCCCTGGTCTCTAACATGGTCCCCCTCTCCACTCCAAACCAGGTGCTCTCATCCTCTTGTACTTTCTCTTATCTTTAGCGGTTGCTATTTGAAACTGAGTGGCTTCATCACCTTTCGTCTTGTTTTGGCTGTTTTTGCTCGGCCTCATCCGGATTTGTCTCCGTGTTATCTTTCCAGAAAGAACAGCCTCAGCCTGCAGAATGTAAGCAGCAGTAACGTGGTGACCACGGGAGGTGGAGACCTACTGTCCATCAAACCGGTTCGCCAGCCTACAAGACCTCCTACTCTTGCAGGCTCCGCCCTTTTACAAACTCATCTAAACGCAATAGAACGCAAATCAGACTGCGTTTTTAATATGTGCATGACTTCTTTTTCTTCTGTCTTGCGCCCATCTCACCCTTCCCCCCCCTTTATTTTTTATTTGGCTTCATTTGAACTCAAAACAGGAATTGATTTGGATCTTAATTAAATAACCATGTTATCTCATAGGGACGGTCTTTTTTGGTGAGGTAGGTACTGCCAAACTCAGAAAATAATTATTTAGACAAATATAGGAAAGACATGGGTCCCAACTTTACCTTTCATGGAAATAAGTCAGTTACTCAGGGTTTTTTAATGCCAACAAGCAAAAGGAGTTTACGAGGAAACTGCTGAACAAGTTTGACATAATCATTCACTGGGGTTGCGTTTTTCTTTTGTTGTTGTTTTTTCTTTTTCTTTTTTTCCTTTTTTTATGGGACATACAATGCATCATTTCGAATTTAATTTACTTTTTTTTTAATGTTCATTGTTATGCCATTGGACTATTTATTCTGGTGTCATACAGCTGTATGAATCGTTGCATTAAGGGGAATTCTTTCAGGCCTGGCTGCAGTTATAGGCTCATTCCCATTGGCTAAAAGTCCTCATCGGGCTTCTCGCATCAGTAAAACGCGAACACAGCCCAGTTTGATGAAAATGGATCTAAAGGCTGAAGGTTGGTTGGTGTTCTGCATTCGTACTGCTCCTTTCTGCCCAGATTTCTGGGATTTGAAAAACCTTTCAACAGAGCTCTTCAGTGAACACAACTCAATAATCAACACGATGACACAGACACCTCCAAACCTGTCATCCGTTACTCTCTCCTGTTTGCCCTGTCGCCCCTGAAATGCTCCAGGAACTTGTTATTGTGAAGGCATTTTGACAAATACACAATTTCTCCCATTTTCTTTCTGGCATCCGTTGGATTGTCCCATCCTCGGGTAGATACTCCCCTCAAATACGACACAGTCGAGCAGACAGTGTCGGGATTCTTTAGGTTCTGTGGTTGTTTATCACTTCAGTGTATGTAGTTCTTAACCAATGTCAAAGAAAGTCAGAGATAGGACAGGAGGCAGGGCGTTTGGATCTGATGTAAATTCTATTGCCAAAAAGCTCAAATTAAAGGCACGCCGTCCTCTTTCATAAAATGATTTGCCAATTGTTATTGACACAATGTAATCTAATTCAGTATTTAAAGTTGTTTAAGCTTATATAAATTTCTGTTATTGTCTAATGCTTAAATAGAATGTCAGAGGGAAAACAAGTGGAACAGGGTGCCATTGTATTTTGTACGCTGCACGTGGATTTTGGCCGTTTCTGTGGACTCCTTTGACTGATGACCGGTCATCGATAGCAGTGAGGGCGAACCATAGCCCACCCCTTCCCTCTCTTTTTAAAAAGAACGATTGTACATCCTGTTGGACAGATTTTCAAAGCCACGGTTGACATCCGCAAATCTACCACATTGAACCGTGCGCTAGCAATGGCCTTAACTGGTTCTTATTCACAATTTGTTACTTGCGCAATATTTCTTTTCAAATTTGTACAGAGTTAGTTAAGATATTCTATTAAAGTTGTGCGACATGGAAATGTGCTTTTTGTCTTCTGTCTGTAAGGCTTAATGGCAAGAACCATGAAACTGAACGAATAAAAGAAAAGTACTGATCCGGAAATAATTGCTAAACTTCAAGTGAATTTGAATGAAGAACTTTAAAAAAAAATGTTATCTACACAAATTGTTGATTAGATGAATTATTGAGAATGGATGCAATTCAGGAATCAAAACTTTACACATAAACCTGTTTAAGCTGTCAGGTTGCCAGTCCTAACCTGAGCTGAGCCTCTTCTCCATCACAAGACACCGTGAGCCCCAGCAGGCCAAGACTCCCGTCTGACACGAAGCAGGCCTTCCGTCAGGCTGCAGTGCATTGTGGGAGATATTTACAGAAGGTGCTGGTGGAGCAGGGCAGCATCTTATCCCAGCAAGGCAGGTTTTCCTCAACGTGCTGACAGCTGCTTTCTTATCCTGTCGCCTCTTCCAGTCACACTAAGAGTTATGTGTGTGTTGTTTTTTTTTATTATTCCTTCCTCACTGGATGGTGAGAAAACACGAGTCTGGATTAGATCAAGTTAACAAAGAGGCCAAGTACACGTTCCAAGATATCTCTCAAAGCTGTAAAACTACCAGTGATGGGATCATGTGATGGAGACACAGAAGGAGCAGTGAGTTCTCGCTCCTGCTGGGGTGCTGGGGTGGGGTGGGGTGGGGGGGGCGCCGGATTTAAATCTCCCAGCGGCTCCCAACTGTAATTTTGGGGATTTTGCTTTAAAGACCTGTGAACAAGGAGCTATTCATGCCACGGCTGCTGTGTGGGGTTTGGGATTGCCTCGCTGTGACAAGGAGCCCGATTGTTGCTGA